CAAAAGGGCTGTGTTCGGGGGAGAACCAATTTGTGATACCTACATAGTTAGATTCTCCTGTAATGAAAATTTTTCAACAAGTCGAAATTATGACCCACGTAAAAACATATAATACAGTGTGACAAGAGATAATTGTCATCAACATAAAGAATATCGATGAAAAGTGTACCCTACATACAGACGTGGATTATAAAGAAAGGGGTGTTCTGGGTGTATCTTTGTTACAGACGTGGATTATAAATAAAGAGGTGTACTGGGTGTATCTTTGTTACAGACGGGTGTACTGGGTGTATCTTTGTTACAGACGGGTGTACTGGGTGTATCTTTGTTACAGACGGGTGTACTGGGTGTATCTTTGTTACAGACATGGATTATACAGAAAGGGGTGTACTGGGTGTATCTTTGTTACAGACATGGATTATAAATAAAGGGGTGTACTGGGTGTATCTTTGTTACAGACGTGTATTATAAAGAAATGGGTGTACTGGGTGTATCTTTGTTACAGACGTGGGTTATAAAGAAAGGGGTGTACTGGGTGTATCTTTGTTACAGACGTGGATTATAAATAAATGGGTGTACTGGGTGTATCTTTGTTACAGACGTGGATTATAAATAAAGGGGTGTACTGGGTGTATCTTTGTTACAGACGTGGATTATAAAGAAAGGGGTGTACTGGGTGTATCTTTGTTACAGACGTGGATTATAAAGAAAGGGGTGTACTGGGTGTATCTTTGTTACAGACGTGGATTATAAATAAATGGGTGTACTGGGTGTATCTTTGTTACAGACGTGGATTATAAATAAAGGGGTGTACTGGGTGTATCTTTGTTACAGACGTAGATTATAAAGAAAGGGGTGTACTGGGTGTATCTTTGTTACAGACGTGGATTATAAAGAAAGGGATGTACTGGGTGTATTTTTGTTACAGACGTGGATTATAAGTAAAGGGGTGTGCTGGGTGTATCTTTGTTACAGACGTGGATTATAAATAAAGGGGTGTACTGGGTGTATCTTTGTTACAGACGTGGATTATAAAGAAAGGGGTGTACTGGGTGTATCTTTGTTACAGACGTGGATTATAAATAAAGGGGTGTACTGGGTGTATCTTTGTTACAGACGTGGATTATAAATAAAGGGGTGTACTGGGTGTATCTTTGTTACAGACGTGGATTATAAAGAAAGGGGTGTACTGGGTGTATCTTTGTTACAGACGTGGATCATAAATAAATGGGTGTACTGGGTGTATCTTTGTTACAGACGTGGATTATAAAGAAAGGGATGTACTGGTTCTTTTTATGTTTACACTGCACGTTATATAATATAATGATCTTTGCAAACTGCTTGTCAGGAACAAGATTTGCTAAACGGAAAGAAAACGCATACATCCTATCTGGAAGTTGTCGGGGGAAGAAAACTTTGGAAACTTATTTATTTAGAAGAATGATTAATGTGGAGATATTTGCATCGACGAACTCTACTATCAAGTATATTACCAAAGTTACCTCGTTATATTGCCGTATCCTCGAAGCTGGCTTTACCATTTTGTCTCATCCTCGTGTTATGTGATGTTCATTGCCAAAGATACTTCGCTATATTGCCGTATCTTCGTGCTGTGTGATATATATTACCATAATTACTTCACTTTATTGTCGTGCCCGCGTTTTGTGTGATGTAGATTACTATAATTACCTCATTATATTGCCATAACCTCGAGCTGTGTGACCTACCCGTATATTACTATTGTTTTGCTATATTGCCATAGTATTGTGTCATGTGATGTGTATATTACCATAGCTACTTCACTATACTGCCGTATCCTGGGCACTTTGTGATGTACATTCCTATAATTACTTCGATATAATACCGTATCCTGGGCACTGTGTGATGTACACGTATATTGTCATGGCTTTGATATATTGCCGTATCCTCGTGCTATGTGTTATATATTACTATAGTTACCGCGCTATATTGTCGTATCCTCGTGCTATGTGTTATACATTACTATAGTTACCGCGCTATATACAGAACTATAGTTACCGTGCTATATTGCCGTATCCTCGTGCTATGTGATATATATAACTATAGTTACCGCGCCATATTGCCGTATCCTCGTGCTATGTGTTATACATTACTATAGTTACCGCGCTATATTGCCGTATCCTCGTGCTTTGTGATATATATAACTATAGTTACCGCACCATATTGCCGTATCCTCGTGCTATGTGTAATATATTACTATAGTTACCGCGCTATATTGCCGTATCCTCGTGCTATGTGTTATACATTACTATGTTAACCGCGCTATATTGTCGCATCCTCGTGTTATGTTATATACATTACTATAGTTACCGCGCCATTTTGCCGTATCTGCGTGTTATGTCTTATAAACTACTAAAGTCACCGCACTATATTGCCGTATCCTCGTGTTATGTTATATGCATTACTATAGATACCGCGCCGCAGTATATTGCCGCATCCTCGTGCTATGTGATATATATTACTATAGATACCGCGCTATATTGCCGCATCCTCGTGCTATGTGATATATATTACTATAGTTACCGCGCTATATTGCCGTATCCTCGTGCTATGTGATGTATATAACTTATGTTACATCGCTATATTGCGCCAAATTCGCGATAAATAATCAGGTATTGTGTCAATCATTATCTCTCTGCACTTGAGGCTGACCTACATTGTACCCGTGTTAGTGTCGTTATGATCGACAATGACGATTAGCGTCACATCATCATTTATATTGAATTATCAGAGTCATTATTACATCTACAGACCACTACACTAGAGGCTAATAAACTAGAAAGGCAATTTACTAACCATGTACCTAATCATCCCAAATGGAAAAATTATGTCAACCATATTAACAATTATGTCGCATAGTACAGAAAATACGTGTAGTGTATCTCGAAGTGAATTCCATGGCGAAAATGGGATTTTAGTATATTGAATTTAAATTGTTTAAGTCAGTAACACCTGTTTATATGAAACAATTTGAATGATGTACAATTGCACATCAAAAGGATATTTTGTACTTGTCAATAAGGGTTTCAAACACATTAAAAATTACTGTTATGGTACGATCAGCCCAGTTAAACTTTTTTCTGGTTGGTCACTATGTGTATACCTAGTGAATTTGAAGTAATTATCTTGCCCTTTGAACAACCACGACGGCACGGCTGTTACAGTTTCTCCATAAAGTTAGGTGATTTTGTACGTAAATAAACAGAGTGCCATTGTGCTGTATATGTCTACACACTGACCTTTGTTGACCTTTGATGGTAGAACAGTGTCGAGTTTGTTCGCGAGTTTGTTAACTTACCAATACAAATACATTATGCATTTATATACAAACTGGAACGTTACGTCATTACGACTCTCTCAGTATGAGTGTTGGTTTTAATTTGTTATCAACAGTACACATTTAACCTGTACATAAAATATACTAATATAGAAAAATATTTCCACAACAAAATTATTGCGTGACCAGGTGAAATATCTTATTCAATTCGTTTAGAAAGAAGTAATAAAAATAAACGACAGCGAATCACATAATTATAACAGTAGTATATAAACTACAGCGAGTTATTTACTTGAAGGCCAACATATTAAGATTCTTTGTTGGGAACAAAATGTCACCAATCATGCGTGCCCGTAGCATGTTACTTACCAATGTTAAGCTATGCTCATTAGCATTCTAATCTTTCGTACTTATATTTTAAAATATAACTGATAATTGTTTCTATTGAATCAGAAAGATATAACACTGTTTTCCCCCACTAATAACACAATTAACGTCACTTCTGATTACAATGTTTTCATGTTTCAAGCATTTAACTACATGGCTAACATTTAGTTGTGCAACAAATTTTATCAACTGTACCTTCCTGTAGGTTACTAATGACTAAAACATACTACAAAGGAAAAGGGGATAATGAAATGGTATACACGTACGTCAGCACGTGTTCTTTTTACTGCTGATAAGAAGCAAAGTTTAATCGCACGGTTACGTTATCTAGTGGGTACACACACACTAAAATCTAGCTTCACATAGCAATTAAATTGTTTCGGCATCATAAAATTATTATACCAGGATTCCAAATTATAGTTCCGTTTAACAAGGGCTCCAGTGACCTTTCTAGTCATCCGACTTTAACATCAGTAGTAGGGGTGGGTACAAGTGTTAAATAATTAAGGCAGTTCAGTCCCTCGTTAATTCTGTTTCTCAACACTTTCACAAAATTTCATCTCACTGGCATCAGTAAAACTGGAGAAAAGCTTATTTGAAAAGGTCATGACGGCCATATAGTATTTCGAACCAACACAAAATATCATCACATTGTCAAGACTACCTCCAAATCAATACAGGCAAGTTTTAGGCCAATTCCACTCGTTGAATTCGAAAAGAAATTCAAAATGGGTGTTGTTTAGAAGAAGACATGATTTCGTAACCATGTTATAAAATGGCTGTCCTGGCTGTCATGTCGAACTTTTTGATGAGGCCGAAAAATAACAACACTGTCGACATCCTATCCTAAACATTCACGCCTATTTTCAACTCAATGGCACCGGTGTTTTTACATATGGCGTCCATGGTGGCCATTTTGGATTTTGCACTGACGCATGAAATCATAACACCATCCTAGGATCAGCTGCTTCAGCTGAATGTCACAGGTTTAAAATGTAAAAACAACGCACGACTTACGACGACGGTCGAATCACAATGGCTACAGGTCATCCTGACCCTTCAGATCAGATGACCAAAAATGAATATGGAGCCAAGATTATCATGATCCGCTGATAATGATTTGTTTATGTAACGAAGGACATTTTAAATTAACGATCGACCCAAACAAACAATGGGAATATAAAACAATATCATAGTATATCTGTCTGTTAACATATATTCTAGACAAATATCAATTCAAAAAAACAATGGACCTCATTTACAATAAAACGGACATAAGTTATAAATATTCTTTTCGTCATTCGTATGAATCAAATGTCAGTTTATTGATCCATAAGCGACACTTCCGGTCAACGTTAATTTGAGTTCTATCCAACTCGGTCAGCATCTGCGCAAACGATTTAATTGGATTGCCAGAGGTCTTAGGTGCGTAGGCAGGGTTAGACAGTACTTTGGGACGTCCATCCTTTGTTCGATGAAGATTTTGCTGTCCGCCATTAGAACAGTTCTGTTCAATGTTCTTTTGTAGACTTCTCTCTGAATTGTTGGATGAGGCTTTGGATGAGTTTTGGGACACTTCCTGTTCACTCGGGGCCAGTTTGGTCTTCAGCGCATATCTGTTCGGGTGCAACATCCGGTCTATTCTGTTCAGCATTACCGATGTCTTTTCGCGCTCTATCATTTCTTGGTCGATGATATCTGGCGCGACTTCTGTGTCTGGTGACGGACCAACCGGATGGATGACCGCCACCATCCCATTCCGTGATGACCGGAAATCAGTATTTGTTTTTATTTGTCGGTCCTTGACGTCCGAGCTAACGCGGCTCATCAACACTCCCTTTTTGGGACTTGGTTTCTGCACCTTTCGGTTTCCGTCTCCAAATGTAAATGGTTGGAATGTTGATTGCATGTCCTCTTTTTTAAGCGTCACTTTATCCGCCAAAGGATCGATGTTTGATCCCCACTGATTAAACAGTTGTGTCCCTCGCAAGGATTCCATACCAGTCAGACCACCCAGTCTCTCGGACTGCACGCGGTCTGTCATAAATTGACCGTTTATTTTTGGCGTTTGTTCAGAATGAATTCTACGCTTCGATCTGGCTCTATTTGAAACACTATCATCACCTTGTTGGAATGATCTGTTCAGAAAGAAAGTATATTCTTTAAGGGGACCCACTGATACTTGCCTGTAACTAGTGTTTCTGGGTTCAATTTTGTTCCAATGTTTTTCTGCCAAACTGTCTATCTGACGAAGATACTGTTTCCCGCGCGCTATATCCATGAGGCGACGCTCACGCGCTCGAGTTTCAAAATCCATCATGGAAACTACACAGAAATGTTTCGACGTGTTCAAGGTTCCTTCATAGAACACATCCAGTTAAGTCATAGCTTTATCATAGAACACATCCAGTGCAGTCATAACTTTATCATAGAACACATCCAGTTAAATTATTACTTCACAAAAGAACACGCCCACTTAAGATATAACGTTATAATATAATATATCCAGTTGTGATGTAATTTAATTAGAAACCATCCTCATGAACTACTGATCTTGTCGGGTGCGAGGCCAATACATACGAGTGTTTAACAGCATGGACAGCAATAAGTGTATTGACAGTTGGGACCACGTCAACAGTGTTTTGTCCTGTCAACAACGATGAGATATCCGATAGCCAATAAATACTGTGGTGACGCCTGTCTTTTATGTATGTACTTCAGTGAATTGAGCAATAAAATGCAACTTAATGTAAATATATATTAAACGCACGCTATTGCTTTCCCTGATCAGTTCACCCAGCACGCGATCATTCAATAGGTTTACACCTAATCAGCGGGATACTGAATGCGATTTCTTCCTTGAACTGTCGGCTTTGAATGTCAGTTGATATCTGCAGTAGAAATGCGTACTTCAAATTCCTGCACGTCGCACTCACACAGAATACATACGTGTTTGTAGGTCTACGTATACTTGACTCCTAAATATAATGCCTCTCAACATTGGTACGTATCCCGAAACTACACTAAGTACCAACACGCCGAGCCGCCCCAGCAGTCCATCAACGACGTCCGGGCAACGACGAGCACCATGTTACAATCAATAGACTATCGATAAGGCTTGTTCGCGACCTTATCTAGACTACTGCTGAAAAGTTTGCTTTTCCTACTCATAACTTGAGTCAATACTCTCCCAGTACACTCTATTTTCTCCGACCTGTAGATCAGGCTATTGGAAACATGTCAAATATTTTTATAACGTATTTTGTTCAGAAGTAACATACACATCGTAAAATGTTAACTTAAAATGTCAATAAGTTAATCTACCGACGTGAAATAAATCCGTTTTCACACCCAAGTGTGGTACCTGATTAGTAATACATGTGTATTTGTCAATATCGCAAGTCCGTCGTTTGTCCATTCACATTTATTTTGTAACTAATTAACGTCTTACAATTACTCTTCCGTTATAGTTAACACGTCTTGGTTGATCTCCGTCAGCGTTGCCCTTAGTTCTTCTCGCGCCACTACCTCCCAAAGACCGCCATTATTTAGGGGTCGTTGATCCCCAAAGGGTTCGGTGTGCAAGCACAAACGCCCACGAGTAATTATTATAGCCTGTCAATAACGAAATTATCGAGTGTCAGAGCTTTAAATTTTCTTTTGTAAAAACTATCAATAAAACTAACAAACTACAACCTGTTGAGATACTGACACGTTAGCGGGAAATATTGACTGTTGGGGAGACATTATCTACAACAAACAATTATAAGGATAGAAATAGACCGACATGTACATACCACAGGTTAACTTATAAGTACTCAATGGTACAATTTGGTGTACTCATTGTTCTAACAAATACAAATATTTACAGACTATATATATTTGCACCGAAAACATTGATCAGGAATACCTATATAAGTATTAGTTATCGCTGTAGATTGTTCTTATCAGGCAATAGTGCCGATTGGCTAGGCCATCTCCGGGAGTCCAGACATATTAAGCCCTACCGTCAACAAAATCGATCTGTGGACAAAACTACCACACGAACAAAGAAATTATTGAGTCAAAGATAAACTGTTAAAATCTAACCATATTCCCTTTGATTCTAACACTCAAGTTATATAAATAAAGTATCCCTTGTTTTCAATACCAGGTCACCTTCTCAGAGCTTTAAAAATGTGTTTAATAACAAAACGAGGGCATATATCGACGTGCTATATGGGTATAAGCACGATAACTAAATAAATACGAAGTACAACAGCAAACTTCACAATAAAATGAACAATAAATATCACGTGTTCTATTACAAATAATCGATATTTTGAATAATCCATTGTCTCGATAAATTAATCACAAGAGTATCAAATAATTCCTTTCACTGTCAATAGAACTGTGTACATCTTTGAACCTGAATTTCAATTTCATAGGGCCTGTATTCCTTTAAGTTCATGTACGTCATGGACGATGTTCTTGGTCCTGTTCACGGTCTAAAGCCACGTGATCAGAGAAGTGTTTTACTCAAGGCTAAGGAAAGGGTGTACTACAAGGTCCAATGGCACAGAACCGGAACCTGATGTTTTCCTCAGTACCAGAATGGGATTGAGCCCGATAAATAGCGTGCAATACAGTATCTATTTCCTATCTTTAACAATGATGTCTGGGAGTAAGTGAAAGCATTGTCAACATCCGAGCAAAAACTGGGATATCAATCCATATGTTGTGGCAGATTTTATGACTGACTAAAACGTCTTAGTTTATAATCGCAATAGAGAGAAGTGACAAGTTGACGAAATTGTTTCACTGACCAAGATACTGTTCTTCAGTCTATCCAAGCTTTCGAACAAAGGGCTCCTTCACCTGTTTACAATGCGTAATTTCAACATTTGTATTTTTTTTTGAAGACTAGAATGATATTTATCACTAAGTTTGGAAGCTTCAAGACAATATGCAGGGAAAGTTGGAAGACTTCGCGTATTTTCTCCACATTACATTGTTTTCGTTCTAAGCCCAGGTAACCATCTGACAACTCTCTAGTAGTGTTTGTAAAGTACATGTACTTTCACCAGGATTGACCATGACTCTCTGATACCCTTAAGTCCTTTCTTCCCGCTCAAGCATCGACCGCGACCAAGACAAAAAAAAATGAGGATAGATAGTCAGAACCCTTCGGATAACTGTTGTAGATGACGATTACGTTATTTATGGAAAAATTAGAAAACAAAATTAAACTTGCAGAATATCGTATAATTGAAGAATATGTCTACATTTGTTTCTGTCTTAACGAACATCTGGTATAATAGTATCACCTGTCTAAACATACATCTGGTATAATAGTATCACCTGTCTTAACGAACATCTGGTATAATAGTATCACCTGTCTAAACATACATCTGGTATAATAGTATCACCTGTCTAAACGGACATCTGGTATAACAGTATCACCTGTCTAAACATACATCTGGTATAATAGTATCACCTGTCTAAACGGACATCTAGTATAATAGTATCACCTGTCTAAACATACATCTGGTATAATAGTATCACCTGTCTAAACGGACATCTGGTATAACAGTATCACCTGTCTAAACATACATCTGGTATAATAGTATCACCTGTCTAAACGGACATCTGGTATAATAGTATCACCTGTCTAAACATACATCTGGTATAATAGTATCACCTGTCTAAACGGACATCTGGTATAACAGTATCACCTGTCTAAACATACATCTGGTATAATAGTATCACCTGTCTAAACGGACATCTGGTATAATAGTATCACCTGTCTAAACATACATCTGGTATAATAGTATTACCTGTCTAAACGGACATCTGGTATAATGGAATCAACTGTCTAAACATACATCTGGTATAATAGTATCACCTGTCTAAACATACATCTGGTATAATAATATCACCTGTTTAAACGGACATCTGGTATAACAGTATCACCTGTCTAAACAGACATCTGGTATAATAGTATCACCTGTCTAAACGGACATCTGGTATAACAGTATCACCTGTCTAAACATACATCTGGTATAATAGTATCACCTGTCTTAACGAACATCTGGTATAATAGTATCACCGGTCTAAACGGACATCTGGTATAATAGTATCACCTGTCTTAACGAACATCTGGTATAATAGTATCACCTGTCTTAACGGACATCTGGTATAACAGTATCACCTGTCTAGACATACATCTGGTATAATAGTATCACCTGTCTAAACGGACATCTGGTATAACAGTATCACCTGTCTAGACGGACATCTGGTATAATAGTATCACCCATCTAATTCGACATCTGGTATAACAGTATCACCCATCTAATTCGACATCTGGTATAACAGTATCACCCATCTAATTCGACATCTGGTATAATAGCATAATCACCTGTCTAAACAGACATCTGGTATAATGGTATCACATGTCTAAATTGATATCTTGAATTTCACTATTACCTGTCTTGACTTATATCTAGAAAAAATAGTGTAACTATAGTCATCCAGTTTAACAGTGTTACCTGTCGAAACGAACATCTAATACAATAGTTTGATGGGTCTGAAATGATAGTCTGAACAGTAGTGTTATCTATGTAAACTGACATCTGGAACAATATCTTAACCACTCTAAACTGACATTTTGTATAACAGTTACCTTTCTAAACTGATATCCATTACGATAGTATTACCTGTCTTAGGTCCAGAACAGTAATGCTGTCTGTCTATACTGACATCTGATAAAACCCTTACCTGTCTTTACTGACATCTGATATAACAGTGTTATCAGTTTAAACTGACAGTAGCTGTTCACTAAGGTAAGTATTTACATTCCAGGCATTTTCAGTTTTACCTGGACACTAGACAGAGAAGCAGTACACTAAGATATGTATTGTATATTCTAAGTCAGTTTTCAGTGGACATGTACACAGTGTATTAATAGGGTTTTAAATTATTTCTATGTTGCTAGTATATTCCGAAGCCGCAAAACTATCTAACATTGTAGTGTCTAAAATAACTTTTAAAAAATTTAAATGTGAAAAGAGAATCATCTTCAAATATGATATATAAGGAATGAAGTTCTTCAGTAGTTGTAGATAAAAGATAAAATGCATTGAAAATTTAATCAAAACTTGAATTAGAATTTTCCTGAAAAAAATAGGCAAGAACCAGGTTAGAGGTATTGTTTTAAAAAGTGCTACAAAATTATGCAAACACCAAAATCTGACTTTACCAGTTGAGTGGAACAGACAGCAGCAATACAAATTATTTTTAATATCAATTTGAAACGATATATTGAAACAAAAATCGATTAAAGTAAACACGGATTTACAAAGAAAAGCAAGATGTCAAATAGATATATATGTATTCCTGTAAGTAATCTAATCTAATTTCAAAGCATATCAGTAATGATGTCAAGAAAACAAGCCAAAAACTTCTGAATTTTTTTCCCTATAATTTTAATGGTGTGTAGGTTTCTCCCCGACTACTGCGCCATTATTTTTCTATCAGTTATCAGATTCACAAAAAAATATACCCAGCCGGGATAACAATAGAGAAAACGAAAAAAGAAATTCAAAGAATTACAATAACATAATCAGTCAAATTTCACTTACATTGCAGTTTGATTGACATTTCATATATTGTGTATATTTTCACGGTTGCAAAACATCTATTTCAACATACTAGAATTGTAAACACATAATTATTTATCAGTAAGAAGGCCACAGGTCACCAGAAGACAAACATAAATGTACATTGACACAGTCAGTTTTTTTGTGACTTATCTGACAAAGTAATATGCTAAATCTTCAACAAACATGTATGTTTTAAACTGATATTTTCAATTTCGCTGTACATACAAATATCAATATCGATAAAATAATGGCCCTTTTTAATTCAATAATTTATACTGACTGTCATCTGAAAGAAAATGGCACATAAGCATTAGTCAATAAAGAAGATAATCTTCAAAACTTTGGAAAATGGTATAAAACTCTTTAAAAGATATGACACCATTTCTACTGATCATATGATCCTTAAAACTAAAATTTCACACAAAACATTACACATCTCCTACAAGTTCCAAATGCAATTCAGTTACACAGTAAGTTTTTTGATGTCAGTTGATTTAATGCCTACAATAGTCAGGGTCTGTGTATGGTGTAACTAGAATACTGACAGACCAGTGAAGACTTCTTTAAACACAGATTAATTAGAAGTCATGTTGTTTCTTCTGATCAGTTCAAAAACAAACGAGCACAAGGAGAGACCAAAGGGAACATATGTATGAAATTTGAGAAATATCCATTCAGTACTTCTTACGAGATAGCAATAATAATCTTTACTAGGCAAAATCCAAGATCGCTTCCTGTCAGCCTTTTTTCCCCCCTGGTCAGTCACAAACTCAAATAGGCACGACTTGGGACCTTAAGAACCCTATACATGAAATTTGAAAAAGATCTACACAGTAGTTCTCAAGAAATAGTGATAACAAACTTTCGAAGTCAGAACCCAAGATGGTCGCTTCTGGGCCATTTGGATATTTTCTGATCAGTACCAAAATCAAACAGGCAAACCAGGGATTAAGTCAAGCATACACAAGAAATCTGGAAAAGATCTATGCTGTAGTTCTCAAGAATTGCGATAAAAAACTTTCAAAGTCAACATCTAAGATGTTCGTCTGTCGGCCATTTTGTTTTTCTGATCAGTCCCAAAATTAGATGGACACAACTAGGGACCAAAAGGAACCTCTATAAGCAATTTCAGAAAGATCCATCCAGTACTTCTCAAGAAATAGCGATAAAAATTGTTTTCAGACAGACAGACGGACCTTTATCTACTGATTGTAATCATTGCCACAGGATAAATGTTGTATTATAAAGGTGGCATACTCGTCATTTCAGTGGTACTACATATTTAGAATGGTTGAAGAACAAGTAAAATTGATATTTCAAAGGAAAAAATTTGTTTATGACAATATGTTGTTGCTAAAACTACAAGCAGATCAAAATAAAATGTGCATGGATGATAGCAGTGGTATCACATGGCTTCTCTGATCTATTATATGAAGTACAACTACAGAATTTTCTTTCAATTTAAGAAGATAATAATAAAAAATATTCTTGTAAAAGAAAACTGACCCATAGGTAGCTTAAAACTTCTGTGATAAAATCTCATTTAATTTCTATGACACATTGATCAATCTCTGTCAGTCTATCAGGCAGGAATGTTATAAGAACATTTGGCAGTACATAGTCGTGATAGTAATACTAACTAGAAAATAAATAATGATTATAAGATAAAAACATATGACACACTAACAAATGATAAAAAGACTTGACGTTAGAACAACATCATTAAATAGTAATGAACTACATCTCCAGTTATATAATCAATAAACAATTTATGTGTACAATCTCCGGTTATTAGAAGTTATCAGAACAATAAAATACATCTTAGGATAAAATTCTACTTCCCTAAACACATCAAATATTAAACTGCTTGTCTCTTCCACACAACATTTTTTATTTTTGCCCTCCTCCAAAAACATTTGTCTTTGCCATGTGTTACATTTGCTCTAAAAGCATTATATATCTCAGCTCTATCCCAAAACTACAGCCACAATTATATTTTCACTTTATTCACAAAAAGGTGAAAGTAAAAACTGTTATGAAAGTTTTTCTATGTAAAGTAAGGCATAGAAACATTTTCTATAAAACATTTAAATATATGTACATGGTACTCCTTGCATTTCAACAAATGTTCATTCTGGTTATGTACTCTATCATACATTAATATTGTTACCCTGTTAAAACAAACTATGTCGATCTTCTGTAGTAGGAAGAATTCAACCAATCAAACAGAACTTTTCATCTATCAAAGGAAAAGTGACAAGGTAAAACCAGTACTACACAAATCAAATATATACATTAAATGTTACATTGAAATATCACAAACTTTTCTACACTTACATAAAAAAACTTCTACATTGCACTGATATGTAGCTTCTAATACTGTCAACAGTATTAGTAGCACTATTGGTTTAAAATCTCCCTTAATTTTTTTCTTTTAAAGATTTGCCAAATATGCCATGTTCCAGCAAGGTTATAGTATTTCAGGTGTACATATCAGATCTTTCAGTCATTAAAGATAACAAACCTAGCATTTTCTGTGCTGAAAGCATTGCTAAAATATAAAAGCACTACTTGCCATTTCTATATGTTTTAGCAATTACTATTGATGATATAAAATTCACCATTGTACTAATTGGCCAAAAAGTTACTGCATTTGATTTCACCAAATTAAGTATGTTAACAGTACACTATCTCAATAGGAAATAACTGAAATCTGATTCAATGAAATACTGATCCACCATGGAAAGGCAGCTTTTAAGTATAGATAAGGAAAATAATTCTGAGAGCATCCCAAGGTTTTACCTAATGCCTTATTCCCGCAGTAAAACAATTATTTATATGACCACATAGAGAATTTATCCCACTAAGTTAGGTTTTACACAAAACACAATGTGAAACATTTCACGTGGCAAGTTATCAAATTATTTCTACTTTGTAGGTAGGTGACTGGTACTACAAACTGTACAAAGAAACTTGATAAACTGAAAGAAATTGTAAACTGTACATACCTAGAACAGCATTATTTTTAACAAAAAATGTCTCATTCGTGGTTAACAGCAATTTTTGTAGGATTTTTTTTGTGAGTCCAGAGCACCATTACCAAAATTTTAATGTGTTCAGTTACAAGGAGATATAGCGGGTTCTCATAATTTGAGTGAGTCCCGCAGGAAAAGGACGAGTCCAGGATGCGAGTCTCAAAAACCACTTGGTTAAACAAATACACCTTCTTTTCAAATTAACTTGAAGTCACAGACCAGTGTTTCACTCAGTCCAAGAAAATTAAGTCTGTACTATACAGTACTGTAAATATATCAATACATTCTTGTTTGATGTGCTTTAGTGGGCAGATTAGGCTTACGGGTTATAATGGAAACCCTCCAGGCTAATATCCCTCACTAGTCAATGTTAATAATATAGCCAGTAACAACATCCTTTCACTGTACATTATAATCGTTTTGCTCCCCACCTCTGTAGAAGCACAGCAATACCAATACTATAACAACAAATTACACTACCTTCCACGAAAAGATGACCTAAAATATTACAGCCAAAAACACGTCTGGGATAACCAGAGACTAGAAGGTACCATAAACACAGGACATAACTATATATTGACAGATTTAGTACATGATTAGATCTAAAATGTTCACTCAGATTGTAACAACTTAACCGTCAAGCTGAGGTTGACAGCAACCAATCAAAAAATTGATTGGAATAAAATGATTTATAGCAGATTGGCATTGTACAAATTACAGAGACTTTAGCGACAATTCTCCACAATGTACAGAAATCATAACAATTCTAAAATATCTTACTACATGTAAGGAGCCACTCTCTAACATATAATGAGCATTTCGTTGTTGGACTATTAACCTCTCTAATGGCAGATAAGTATTATACAAATCACAAAGCTGCTTGTAGCAATTCTCTACAATGTTGGACGTCAATAAAATTTCTACAGAGTGCCAATCATACACCTGCGCATACAGTGGTTGTAAGATAAGACAGTCTATATATCTATTTGGCATAGTCAGTATGAAGGCAGTGGAGACAGCATCACACAAAGCCCGCACTATATATATATCAGTCATCCAAGGGACACTTCCCATTTACTGTCACACAGAAGAACTATACTCCTGTGGATTCATATATTGCTAAATCTGTCAGTCAATGATAGCATAACTATGTACAGCAGAGAAATTCTCAATTTTTGACCAAATAAAACAATTACAGATCTCTTCTAGATACACTGTATCAATAGCAAGGAATCAAGGCTGTGTCATATAGAATACATGTATATCCATTGTAGTCAATACAGCCTGTGTGGATATCTCATGTTCAGACTTAAAAATTGCTATAATTGTTTGGTAAGTAAGTTTAGTAAAATAATTCAACAATGCTGAAGTGATATCCATATATGTATGGGCATCACAGACATGATAGGCTTGTAACATGTTATTTCCCTAGAGTTAACAAAGTTGGTCAAATTAGCAAGCACAAAAAAAATTGTAATCAGGACAATAACGAAAGATAAAGATGACTACACAATGAATATTTCTGGTTAACAAAATGTATGGGATACCAAACAACTCTTTCTTCATAAAAAAGGTATTATGTTACACTTATTAACACCTCAGAGACCAAGGTGATGAACTTTGCTACTCAAGCTATATTTAAATTAAGTTGGTTGAACAAATTACTAAAGGTAGTCTCACATTGTGAGATCACACTGGAAATATGAGTGACATCGGTACCCTTGTGTTTTATGATAATTTAACTAAAACTTGGAATTTCAATGAATAGATATTACTTCAGCATTTACAGAAAGTCTTTTGACATAGATCTTGTGTTCTGACATCATTGATATACATCCTCAATGGACTTTGGATTCTGTGAATTTTCAAGACCTTGCTGTTGCTTTTCCAAGATAGTGGCGAGCTTTGTGTGATGTAAGTTGAGCAGGAGTTTTCTCCCTTGATCAGGAATCCTCCTCCATGTAACTCTGAAGACTTTCAAATGGGTCTGTGTGAGGAGTACTAAAACAGAAACAGAACTTATTAAAGAAGAAATAGTATTTCAAAATTCTGGCACATTATCCATGTATAATTGTATTATATAAATAATATTTTCATCATGTAGAAGAAGTTTTGACTTGAAATATTTATCAAAAATAAATTATCTAAGGAGATTCTTTTCATACACTTACTTATTTTTGTTCAATTTAACAAAATGCAAGTAGTAAGCCTTTCATCACAGCCTACTACTAGCACATTATCATATTCTTGAACTTCTTCTCTAATTATTAAAAGAAAAATAGCTTAAAGGATAAAGGTTGATGCCAAATTGACTGATCACACCAATGTTTTTTTTCATGCAAAATCTTGTTATGAAATAAAGAATTTTCTTCAAACATTAGAACTGCTATCATATGATCTCCATCCATTGATAATGTTGATTTTAAGCAAATATGTTATACACAAACCTAAGAAACTGTTGAAGCCGTCTTCTGCGTTGATATTTGCGATACATATAATAGGCTGTCATGCTAATTGTTATAATGGCTGCCACACTAAACATAAGACCTAGCACAATGTCCACAGCTGAGGATGAAAATATGGCCTGCTCCTTGTAAGTAACATTAGGCTCATCTTCTCTTTTTGTTTCTGGTCCCAGATCTGGCTGACATTTACCTGTGAAGTAAAAAGTCAAATTTACCTGGGTAAAATGATGTTTATATGTAATGACTGAGGTCACTCCAGAGTGTTCAGGCTATTACGAAGGATGACTAAGTTTGATGAAATTGAAACAAGTGTCAAGACACTAATTTCTATCCCACCCCAACCTAAAGAGCACTTACAAAACATTTTCTGTAAATATTTTTGTTTAACTGTTTGCTAGGTTTGCCATCCTGCTGATAGCCAGGGTCATTTCATCAGATTGAAACTATGAAATGGAAATGATATCAACATAGTTATATTTTACCTGTTGATACAGTCTTCAGAAGTGATTCATTATCATCACAAATCACATGAACGAGATAGTTTGTGGTCTTCCTAAGATTGCTTAGTGTGACATTATTCTCTGTGACCATTATGAGTTCAGTTTTATCAGCCATTGATTGACTTTGGTCCAGATCCTTGTACCAGACAGTACATGACACTGGTGTAGGAGTGAGAGCATGTAGCGATACTAATATGGCTGCTCCATCTATACAAACACTTTCCATCTCCATGTGAAGCCCTGGAAGTGTCACAGTATATACCAGCATACAGGCACCTGTAACAATACATATGTGTTTTACAATTTATAATGTTGATTATAATTACAATCCAGGCATGTGAGCTATGAAAACTTTCTATCCATTTTGATCATGCATGTAATTTACAGAATCATCAATTTTTGGAAGATTAAGCCAATAATATATCACTTTATATTGCATATGAATGTACAACTGTAGTACTTTTATTTTTGAAAAATTCATTGACAGATTCTAAATACTGACAATCATCAACTTAATATATCAGAATGATAGTTCATAACATCATAAGACTTAGCATACATTTTTAGTGGGTCACACAAGTAAAATGTCCCTATTCAGTTCTTTCACCATCATAAATTTGCACCTTCATAATCTAATGATAGTTTTTGACATATAAGTGAAAATTCCAAATTCCAAAGATCTTTGTTAAGATGTTTTTACAACCAATATCCTTTATAACGTAACTTCATGTACCTTGGTATACATTTTTATTTGAATATTTTGTTGCAATTTTACAACGTCATGGAAGTATCATACAACATGAATATCTCATTAAAGGAATATGAAATATATCATCAAAGTAAGTGCCATTCTAATTCCCTATGGTTAAATTGGTTATAATCAAAAAAAGAACTCATTGGAATCTTGATGCCCACCAGGAATGATCTTTTTTTAGTTCTATACAAGACTGATCTTTACTCTTACCTAACAAATTTTAAATGTCAACATCAAAGATGTCTGCTTGTTAGTTATTTTGTTTTACTGATCAGTCTCAAAATGAAAAGGGAACAAGTAGGAACCTTTGCTCACCAGTCTCAAAATCACCTGAACATAACAACAAGGGCCTAGTACTTCTTATTCAAGGAACTTCAACTGTCAAAATCCAAATTAGCCATTTTGTTTCCCCAACATACTCAAACTTTAACTGACTCAACTGGTGACCTACAAATGAAAATGCCAAGGTTCTGAAATATCATTTCAGTACTTCTCAAGAAATAGTGATAACAAACTCTAACTGTCAAACTCTAAGATGGGCACCTGCCAGGTATTCAGTTTTTCTGGTCAGATTCAAAACTGGATAAGCATGGGTCCAAGGGAATCCTTAAAGCTTGAGAAATGTTCTTTCTTCCATTACTTCTCAAAAAATAACAATGGCAAGGTTGTTTAGGAACAGACAATGTACTATGGATCTGTCCACCATATAATGATTGTAACTTATCTACATATGGATATGACTGAGAATAGTGAATTTCCCTTATCGTTTATTTTAACCAAAAAGAAACAATGCATACTAGACTTTCAACTAGAGAACCTGTTAAAATTGGAATTCCCCAATTACCTATTTTTTACCTATGACAACTATAAAACTATAAAACTTATCTTACAGCTGTTGCCACCAAAACTTGTTTCTTTCTTTCATTATTACTCTGATTATGCTGTTAATTGATTTGATTTGAGGTTCCATTATTCATAAAGTTATTATCATTTAGATTATAAGATCCTTTTTTTCTAACATTGAATAATTGAATACTTTTAATTCACACTAAATTAGCATATATTCTGTTTTATCTTATATCTCATCAGCATATTAATGCTGACCTTTGAAGTGCATAAAGAGATTATACATATCTAAATAAGCTTAACAAAGTCCAAAGAATCCTCCAAGGTAACTTAACCTGTACTGTGTGTAAGACTTTCCTAAAATGTCACCATTACATACAAACACTGAAATATTACTGATCGTGGTGAATTAACAGATGTAAGTTTTGAGTATAAATCTTTTGATTGATTATCGGAATTCAGATGACAAGCAAGACAATATGACGAGCAGGATCACCAGACCCAAGTTGTGATCGTGTTTGAACTAATGAAGACATTCAGTGTTAACTTCTAAACCGAGGATATTCTCAATCTATAAAGCTTTTGAAGAAGCAGACATTAAGTAGTTACCTAAAAATACGATGCACTGCAAGATTAATGGAACTGTGATTCCAAGTCTCATTTCAAATACAACAGTTGGAAATAAATGGCGTCCTTCTTTGTAACTGTCCGTCACATCCTTTTGAAGGGGGCTGCTGAAGTTACTGTATGATGCCACTTTGTACAGGGCGTATATTGGGTTTTCGCTAACATCAATATACTTTCGTGACCAGACTTATAAAAAACACGTATAGTTATTAGTTAATATGGAATACAATGCAACATATATATTCCCACAGTGTTGGTTTTCTTGAAATGAACTGAGGTGGTAAACAAACATCTTTTGCAGAGAGAATGTCCATCGATTCCAAACTTCCGGTCAGTCTACACACGACTGGCGCTTGTTGTGAGCCTTCAATGTAAGCAGTCTACAGACCTTGAACTATTGTTTACAAAAGTAGTTTCCGGGTAATTTTATAGGACGGCGAACAGATCGAAGGACAGGATTGTAGGTCGAGTAGGAATAAAGTACACAGAGGTTGCAGTTTATAAGCGTTTTCTTTTCTAAAGGTAAAATGAAACGATGTCGAGTTCTAATTATACAATTATTATTTTGATTATGTAAATATTGTTTATTTAGGTTCAGAACGTTAGTGTAACGTTTGCAGTGTCAAAGGCTAACCGCGGGCATAGTAACATTGCTAAGCAGTTGTCATAATGTACCTTTATCACCGATAGAGGAAACTCGTTTTGACATTATTGATATATCTAAACGTTGCATGACTGAACCATTTTTTTCAGTTTTATGGAAAATAAAATGAATGGAGTATCAACATCAATTAGAACCAGAAACTACTAATGGAGAAATAACAGCCGGATGTTGCTTCTTCCACAATTTATATCGGAACTTATTCGTGATGATTACACGTGTCGTTATCTTTTATCTTTCCTAGACTATGGGAACACCAGCTTTCAGTCATTTATTCTTAACTTTGTTACTGTCACATTACAGACTGGAAATTGCCTATGTAGAACAGCACATTCATAGCTGATCAAGATTATGAGAGCTTTTCATGAAGGAAATTACAAGCAAACAGAGAAGGGAGGACATAAGAATTTGTTTTGATAAAGCTGTATGGCATTTGAATTATCCTGAGAAGTGAACATTTACAATGTATGTAGTTTCAGTTTCATTAGGATTTTTTCTGTTTATAATTTTTTTTTTATTCATTTATTTATTTTTGTAGAATACTTTACAAAATGGGGTCTACTATTGGGAAAGCCATGGATGAGAACATGAAAAAGCAGCAAGAATTCATGCTGAAGACGCAACGAATTCAGGTAAATGTAAATCTTACAGAAAGTCAACTGAAGATGACCCTCTTTCTTGACTTGTGTTACATACCCACATTCCAAATATCACTGCAATATTTAGTACATGCATCACAATTGTCATATTTTCCAACGAAATATCTTTCTCTGCACTTGTAGTAAATGCATCACAATTGTCATATTTTCCAACGAAATATCTTTCTCTGCACTTGTAGTAAATGCATCACAATTGTCATATTTTCCAACTAAATATCGTTCTCTGCACTTGTAGTAAATGCATCACAATTGTCATATTTTCCAAATAAATATCTTTCTCTGCACTTGTAGTAAATGCATCACAATTGTCATATTTTCCAACTAAATATCTTTCTCTGCACTTGTAGTAAATGCATCACAACCTGTACAACAAGAAAAAATTATTGATATATAATAACCTAAATGTATCTTTAGCTGTAAGTTTATGAAAAAAAATCAATAAAATAAATGACATACTTTGATCAGATCTATTTCTTATGTGGAAGCTTCAGCTCAAAACACTTATCAATTAAAGGCTACAGAAAAAAGTCAAGCGCTGAAGTCTGTCAACATACCTTATATTCTTGTAATGTAGATAGACAAAAGGACATAGATCCCAACCTTAAAAGCACAAGATGTGTGTTATGTTACTAGTTCTGTACCTTGTATCTCTACTCTTACAAGGGAAATGTACCTGTGACTTTATTACATTTGTAGCAAGAGCGTATGCTACAGATGAATAACCTGATGAGGGAGAGAATGATGGCTGCACAGGTTGCTAGAGCCCGGGACATGTTTCATTTCTTTGCTGTTTTCTATGGCTTTGCTTGTGTTGGTGGCATAGCTGGGTAAGGCTGATCTTATTTAGACCTGGTAATTATCTGTACAAATCCTTTTGTCAGGCTCTTAGAAACTGGCACAATGTATATGGAAATATTGAATGTTTGTGTATAACGCATGGCCAAAAAGTGCAAGGTGGTGGAAAAATTGTGAAAAATTTTCCTGGTTTAAGAAATAGACTGCTGAATGTGATAAAACAAAATGAAATATACAAAAAAAAATAGCAATGCCTGAAGCCTGTTTTTCCAAAAAGTATACATGTATTTATTAGCTCATTTGCCATGGTGTGGTGTATCCTTTAGTTTGTTGTCAACTTTTCCCTGTAGACAACTTCTTAAATAACCAAAAGGCTCAGGGTGCTGTTGTTGAGCCTGTGATATGCTGGTTTGAACGTCAATTAAGTTGTTTACAAAATTGACCTTAACCTACATTCGAGGTTACAGGGAACAAATGTGTAAAAAATGTTTAAAATATTGAGAATGGGAAGTGAGTTTTTAGTTGACTACTACAATGTACATTGGCATTACATAGTGAGAATTGGAAATATCATCTTTAATACTCTAGGAGGTAAACTCACTATCGCTCTCTACACCCTGTACATCAAACAGATCTTGAGGTCATGTGACAGTTGTGTTGTAGGGTTTAGAAGTTGGATATTGCTTCTTTGTAGTCTTCAAAGGAGCTAAACCTGTTCTACACAAATCAGAATACTTTGGCTTGCTTGTGCTTTCGATTTTGCCATGAAATGTTCCAGGGGTGCAGAGCAGAAAGTGATGATAACCCCTGGAGTATTGGGGAGGGTATTTCTAATTAGCTACTTCCATGTGCGTGGACATCTCATAGTGAGATCAGGAAGCGTTTTTCTAAATATAACCATTTGTAATATACATGATATGGGTATCAATATCGAGAAGTTTTTAACTATTTCATGAAGGATGATGAAAAAGAGACAGTACTTGCATCAGAAAAGTTCTGTATGATATACTAGCTGCTGTTTCAGGACTGCTGAGGTTCAGGTGAAGAATTAGGACTTAGTAGACACATACAAGATGATGTTTCCAGTAAACTGTTTCAACTTTTTCAATGAATATCTATGAACGATAATTCTTCTTATTATTTTGCCAACCCTGTATATCAATACACTGTATGTTACTATTCACTATGTGATCATTCTAAGCCCTCATTGGCCATCAGGTTTTTCAGTTTTACCATTGACAGAATGAAACAAATGGAAGTAACTCTGTGGGATCACAATGTATATGATGCAATATGTAGGTATATACTAGTAGGAGAAGGTATTTTTGGGTGTCCCTGTCCTCAGGTATATATATAATGGTGCTTGTTGGTCTGTGTGTAATTTGAGTGACAGCGAGATATCTGCACTCCCTTGCCTTAATCATGTGAACTTCAAAATCCTGACTGTGAAAATTCTGTATTTGGTTTGTTTGGATTTAAATACATGTTATTTGTTCAACATAAGAAAAAGGATTAGGCACAAATTATTGCATTTTATAGCTGCATGTTTCAGGGCTCAGTAGATAATTTTATATGGAAACCATGTTTATTTCTGCTCTTTCTTCCGTGCTGTGACATCATGTGAATACGCAAAGGGTTTGGTCAAAATATTGTTCACATCTATATGTAATAACAAAAAATTATATTTCACTGTCTGGATATTCAAGACTGATGTATACAATAATGGGAAATTAATGTTATTTTTAAAAAATAGTTATTTCAAACAATCTTATCAAAGCATGATTCAGTATTTTGATAAGTCAGGTAATTTAGCATACCGTATCTTATCTTTATTCTGCAGTGAGAAAAGTTGTTTGTAATAAGCTCACTTGATGTAAGTCTTTTGAATTTTAAGATGAAAGTGAGAAGAGAAAAAAAAATGAAAATCCTTGGTTTTATCCCAGTCACAACTGGTGATACAGCAATTCATGTATATGTTACATGATACATGTGGCATAACTCAAGAAAATATATGTTATGTTTCATACTGACAGATTCATGAAAAAGAGGAACCCAGGAGTAATTGCACCACTACTGCCTTTGACTTTCGTCTTCATGTACCAGGGAGATATGGCCTATGGTGACAAGTTAGTCAGAATTAGAGGTAAGTGACTTGTACCAGGGGGTTATGGTGACAGGTTAGTCAGAATTAGAGGTAAGTGACTTGTACCAGGGGGAATGTGATGACTTTTTTGTCAGAATAAGAGGTAAATGACATGTACCAGAGGGAATTTGGTGACAGGTTAGCCAGAATTAGAGGTAAGTGACTTGTACCAGGGGGTTATGGTGACAAGTTAGTCAGAATTAGAGGTAAGTGACTTGTACCAGGGGGTTATGGTGACAAGTTAGTCAGAATTGGAGTAAGTGACAAGTATCATGGGGATATGATGACTTGTTAATCAGAGTAGGAGGTAAGTGACATGTTCAAGGGTATATAGTTACAAGTTAGTCAGAATTAGAGGTAAGTGACAAGTATCATGGGGATATGATGACTTGTTAATCAGAATAGGAGGTAAGTGACATGTAACAGGTGATATGGTTACAAGTTAGTCAGAATTAGAGAGTGACATCTGACAAGTTAGTAATGTAAGTGGAAACAACATTGCAGCTTGAGCCAAATCTATGCCAGTGATATGAACTGAAAGTAGCTGCATTTTTAAGACATTGAATTTTCTAGTGCCAGACTTTCTAAATGTAATATCACACAACAGGACAGTTAAGGCTTGTTTGCATTGATCCTGAGGTTAGATGATAAAGGAGCTGGATATATCCTTATTTAGCCTTGTAAACTGCTAGTGATGGTACAATTACTGACAAGTTTAAACATTTCCCATACCTATATGGTTCTGTGGTTATTGTTTAATGTCAGGACAATATGTGATTTAGCCTTAACTGAATGTTGATGCATTTCAGAGGAAGCTGACAGAATTATGGATAAAGAACCACACCTGTTGGAACTTCCACATGGCTTGCCAACTTTCAGCAGCATTGAAGCTGCCCGACTCAAACAGATTGATGAGAACAGAGTCAACCAAGGACATGACATATTTCTGTAATGTTCAATTACATTAGTAAATGGATGAAAGAGTGTACATGTGCCATTTAATATTTTATTATGAGAAATGGTAGTTAACTGGTTAATCCGTCTCAGGGTCAGCGAAAATTAGTATTTTTTTTTAACTAGAGATGAAAATTTAGATTTTATATTACAAATTTCATGAAGAAATCAATATACGTGTTGTGAAAAAATAGTTTTGTGTACATCCCATACATAGTGAAAAATAGAGAAAGATGTTTACGGTATATGGATCATGACAGAGCTGTGATGAATATAATCTCAAATGTATTGAAGCTGATTGATTTCCTGCAAAATTACTTTTCTGTTTAAAAGTTAACTTAATATACTATCACAATGTACATTTTGTTAGAACTTAAACATTTTATGAATTGATAAGTCAGGAAACCTATTGTTAGAGAGTTAGTGTATGATATGCACAATGAAATCTTCATTTTACATAATTCATTTCCAAATAAATGCATGAAAAAAAAATTGTAACTCTGAACACAACTATGGTTTCCTGAATGTCAAGTGTCCAGAATATAAGTATTGTGATTTAGTAGGTTTCATCATGTAAATAAATGTATTCTATAAATTTCTTATTGTCTAAGGCATGTAGTCATTATCAGATGTGTACCATACTTACAAACCCTCCAAGTCTAAAATTTGGCAACATTTTACATTATTTATAAAGCACTTCCAATAATCTCGTTTGACAAATCTTAGAAGTATAATATCATAAAACAATGTATTTTAGAAATTCAGCTTTAGAAAAATTATGAAACATTTACTAAATTGTTCAATTCATACCTTGTAAAAACTGAAGACTTTCACACCTAACCTAAAAATCAAAAGATTCGACCAGTATACATACAAGAAATACATGGTTCACAAAATGTAATGACGCAAAATGTGATTTTATTATAAAGCTGAAATTGAAATTTTGTGTTTTAGTTATTTCTTTCTGTATATACTTTGTTAACCTGTATTGGGGTAGATTTTGAACCAAACTGTCACAATTACCATTGAGTCATCAAGGGGATGACAAGTATAACCCCAACTATGCCAAGATTGTTTTTCACACCACATATTGCGGGTAATCAAAGTTTTGTTAAATCATTAATGTACAGCAGCATAGTTCTGTAAGTAGGTACCATATACAACTGCACAGGACAAATACGCAAGGCAAGAAAATTGCATATAATATAAACATTGAAAAGATATCCATTTAAAAGAAGAGGCCCATAGGCCTTAAAGGTTCACTGTCATTAACTTTTTACATAGTATACATAGTAAATATATATTATATTAAAAAAATACATAGTAAAGCACATTTTAAATAGATTAATTTTTTTTAATGTGTATAAGTTAGCAGGAAACAGTTAATTTGCATTTTTCCTGAAATTATGTTTGAGATATACAGGTATAGCAGATTGGTTATGAAAAATACATAATTACATGTATATATATATATCTATAAACTACATAACAATTACTTTAACAGTAGAGAGATGAAATTTGTGTAAAAAAAAAAAATTCCTCTGATTTCTGATATTTGATTATCATGGTTACCTACTGAAAAAATGCTAAAAATGCAAAAATACTGCTAATTCTAACCTAACACTACAACTTTCTAAATTCTAAACACCTATCTTACAATCAACAACACTGTCATGGTAACAAAGTACTTACATTTCAGCAAATTCCAACTCGGAAATTCTTCATAACATGACCACATGTAAACACTATGAAAATTTCACTTCCTGTAAAGACACCGATTGCAGACTGCCCAAATAGTAATCATTAGATATTCTTAAATGTCATGTGTATGACATCACAAACACCTACCGTATGGTACCAATAAACGCCCCGGGGGCGTGAAATTTTTCAGACGGGGCGATTAATAGAACACAAAATTTCATAATTTGTTGGTCGTGACATGCCATGGCTGCCACTTAAAAACATTGTTTAACAAACAAACAAATTACTCAGCTAAGAATGCATTTGAAAATTGCAGTAATTCCAACATCGTTGTAGCTTTAAACATTGTCAATTGCATTCTGATAACCTGAATTCTTGTATGAAATGACATGATGTCAATCGTGTCAGCTTCAGTCAAAAACGTACAATGTTCATCATCACTTGTAGGACTAGTTTGCATAACAAAATAAAAAAACAGCGGTATATAAGCCAGTCTGTTTCTTATTAAATCCCACATACCTGATAGCAATGTCTGGGACAAAACGAAATTACAACACTGCTTTCAAGCTTAAAGTAATCGTCTTCACAAAGGAGAAGGGTAAACATGCAACCGCGAAAGTGTTTCGTGTTGACAGAAAACAAGTGCAGGACTGGTGTCAAAACAAAGAAAAATTTTAAAATCTTTCTAAAACATCTAAACGCTGTAAAGGAGGTGGGAGGCATGTCAGATATGAAGATATTGACAAAAATCTGATGAGATGGCTACAGGACAGACGGGAGGCCGGAATACGAGTGACTGGGAAAGCATTGCGGTTTGAGGCCCTGCGTATGCATAAGGCAAATGGTAGTCAATCCTTCAAAGCCTCATATGGATGGTTTTCTAAATTCAAAAAGAGACATATCATTTCGTTCAGGCGATCTACGCATGTGGCACAACATGAAGTTTCATTAATAGATGATCGTGTTGACAGTTTTTTTAATTTCGTTTTAAGAATGCGTCGGCTACGAGAATACCCCGATAGCCATATCGCTAATATGGATGAAACCCCGGTGTGGTTTGACATGTGTAGGGAATTTGTCAAGGATATAAAGGGCAGTGAGAGGATGGTAACGACATGACACAACATCTTCCTTTCAGTGATAACCTTTTATTTTCTTTTTTGTCTTTAAAGAGTTCCACAAAGGGAAGTTACAGAGTATACATCATTTGTGAATTATCTCCCTTCCACCAACTGTGGATGGTTTACGCTTCATCCATGTAACAATGTGTATACACACAACATCCCCCCTCCAAAACAAAATTGTGGATATTTTACAAAAATTGGGAACCAATTACAAAATTGTGGATGTTTTACAAAAATTGGGAACCAATTTTGTTTTGGAGGGGGGGGGGGGGGGGGGATGTTGTGTGTATACACATTGTTCTTATATGATTTTTGGTAGTTCTTTGTGGATGTTTTACAAAAATTGGGAACCAAAGAACTACCAAAAATCGTATAAGAAAAATTTAAATACACATTAAACAATTTGGTAATTAATTCGAAAAAATAATTCTATGAAAAACAAGTCATATCTTTGTTAATTAATTCGGGTCAGGATTTGTAAAATATAGGCCATATTAGATACACACATGTACACATACACACAACATCCCCCCCTCCCCCCTCCAAAACAAAATTGTGAATGTTTTACAAAAATTGGGAACCAATTACAAAATTGTGGATGTTTTACAAAAATTGGGAACCAATTTTGTTTTGGAGGGGGGGGGGATGTTGTGTGTATACACATTGTTCTTATATGATTTTTGGTAGTTCTTTGTGGATGTTTTACAAAAATTGGGAACCAAAGAACTACCAAAAATCATATAAGAAAAATTTAAATACACATTAAACAATTTGGAAATTAATTCGAAAAAATAATTCTATGAAAAACAAGTCATATCTTTTGTTAATTAATTCGGGTCAGGATTTGTAAAATATAGGCCATATTAGATACACACATGTACAAATTGAGCTCCTTACTTCAACGACATCCGATTTACATTGTACCATGAAATATTATGTAATGTATAGGAATATATGGAATATGGACCACACACGATCATTCCATTACCAGCGAGATGTGGAAACTCTTCACACATACTAAGATAATTAGATAAGATATATGGCATACCAATTATTATGAACCAGAAACACACTGACATACATACTTGTACAATCTGGTACCTAGAATCTACAGACTCGCACACACCTCACAAAAATGTTCCATACTTTCCAAAACCATATTTTTCTGGATATAAAATTCCAACATAATAAAGTACGAAGAGATGTCAATCTAAGAAGTTATAATAAAGGTGCAGATATTTGATATTGCATGTAAAATTCCATGTAAAATGAAAACTTTGATGTCAAGCCAAATATGAGTTTTATAGAAATACAATGAAAGGGAAAAACAATTAATATTCCATTACTATTGAGCAGCAAACTCTTAATTATTAGTAGACTAGTAGGCTATCTGCCATGGGAAAATAAGGATTTCTTTTTACTAGCGTACATAGAATTACATAACCAATCAATCACCAAAACATTCAATTGAAACAATGTAATCTAATCAAGGAAAAAAAAAGAATCTAATTAATGTAGATGACAATCTATGGTTCATACATCAATCAGATCAGTCAATATTATCAGTATCATTACACTGAACTATAACAATTTGCAAGTGGATTAAACGCAAATGTAATTGAATAACTCTAAGTCAATGGATACTTGCATAATGTTTTGAAAGTAACAAGTTTGCATATATCATTTCAAAGTTAATGAGTATTTGTATCATAATTCCCTTAGAAGTACATATGAATTGTATCTATACAAAGGGTGGAGGTTTCACTTGTATAGCCTTGAGGGCTTTTTGGTTTAGAGATGACGGTCCAACCCAAATGGCGTTTTGAGCTGGTTCTCCACACAATTGTACGAAGTACTTAGTACCACCATCTTCATGCTATTGAGCAAGAACACGTTTGATTTTGTGGTACCCATCACTATCAGAGGAGAGCGAAAAACAAGTATCCTCTAAAGGAGTCACATGGTCACTATCGCGAAAACGTATAGGTTTTTGACGAACACAAGTAGGGCGTACCTTTGGTGGTGGATCTTGTTCTACAGAATCACTAGCAGAGAGGTTTGGGATGGCATCCTCAGATGAGTGCTGATCCAACGACAGGTCAGAAGAGGTAGATGTGAATAAATCGTTAGTGACATTTGTAGTTTGCACACTAGCATCCCCTGTTGCTACCGACCGAGTTGAGGTAGTCACTGTGAAGAATGAATCTGGGGTGGGCTCACGAACATAAGCGACTTTTAACCGATCCACATGAATAGGTGTAGGTAAAGTTTGTTTTGTAACTGGATCCCGCAAAATCACTAAGTGGGGTGAGTAAATGGTCTGAACAACATATGGCCCAGCATACTGACACTGAAGTTTCTGTCCAACACTGGATGGGGGTTTATGGAGAAATACATAATCATGTTCTGAGAGCACCAGAGGTTTTGTTTTAGCATTGGCTCTTTCCAACATGCCAGCTTGAGCGCGAAGAACATTAGATTTCATTTCGTCTCGAATGAGCTTTAGTTGTTGTTCTTTTGATTTCATGAAGGCACGCATGGTTGATGGTAATGTTTGAAAACCCGGTGGGGGAATATTGGAAGCAAGTGGATATTTGGGTCGTTGTCCGAACAACACTTCAAAGGCAGAATATCCTGTTGAACTGTTCACAGACATATTCATTGCAAAAGTCAATGACGTCAAGACATCCTCCCAATTTGTACGACCCAAGTTCATATATGGGGTAAGCTTTGTAGCAAGGGTTGCATGGGATCGCTCACAAGCACCTAGACAGTGGTGCACAAAGCTAGGCGTGAACTCCTGCTTTATATCCAGTAAACGACAAAGTTCTCTGGTGACTGCTCCTGTAAATTCTGTACCGTGGTAAGAGATTAAAGTATCGCAACACCAAATGTCGTAAAAAGCGAGAACAATGCGGATGCCACAGTGAGAGAGTCATCGCTTGCCATCGGTACTGTATAGATGAAATGGCTAAACATGTCAACTGCTGTTAGAACGCACGCTTTGCCTGATGGAGTAAGAGGGAGGGGTCCAAAACTATCCACCTGCCATACCTGGAATGGCTTACGAGGTGTAGGGTAGGCAACAATACCATTCTTAGT